TTTCAAATGAAAATGAGGCAGTTACTTTATGTTCTATACAAGAAAATAAGTATTAAAATGCCACAGTGTGGCATGATTGCAGTACTGTATTTTAGAAGCAAGATTGTTCAGTAATGTGGTCAATCTAAAAAGTACTGATAGTTTTTAAGTTTGATAAAATTTCGATAAAGTTGTATAAAAATTTTTTAATTGCACCAATGTTTTGCGCTTTTATCTGGTAAATGTATACTTTAGAAATACGTAACTTTAAAAAAAAAGATGCATCAGTATGTAACTAATTCTTTTCTTTTTTAATATGAGAAATGACCAGTTACTCTAATAAGAACTAGGAACTGAATTTAAAATATGCACCAAGTTGTGGTGTATACCTTACTCATACCTTTTAAAGTCAGACGTGTTGCAGCATTTAAGATCAGGTGATCGTAAATTTCTTCAGCAACACGGATACTGTCGTAGTCCACGTGGAGGGTTCTCGGGTCGCTTTTTCAAGGCGTATGTGCGAGTTTGCTGAGAATAAGCATTTTAAAATGCAGCGAGAAAGCAAATTGGGAGATGACTTTCATCAGCGTTTTCGTACATTTTGATGAGTCGAGGTTGAGGCTGTGTGTGAGACTGCCGGGAAGTAGGCTGTGGGTGAGTTTTCAGTCTCAGAGTGGCTGCAGGGAACAGAGAGGCAGGGCGCAGTTGCGGCGTTCCCGGCCGAGGCTGGAACACGTGGGCCAGTCTTGGACTGACTTGGGACTTTGCGCAGATTTACCTTGTCAGCAGGTTCAGAGCAGGGTTGGGGGGAGAACTGTTTATTTTACCCCTGCTTCCAGGCCCTCTCTGCATTCATGGGTGATATGCTCCCGGAGTTTGGGCAGGGAGGGGAATCTGAGCTCCGTGATGAACATGGAGGGGGAGGTGGGAGGACTTAACGGGACGAAGGCCCTTAACTTTCACCCGATCAGAGTCATGTGGGTGCTAGTCTGCCCTCTCTCATCTCTCCTTTTTTAAAAATTTTAAATGAAAAAAAAAAAAGACAGCGCTGCCCTCTTCCTCATTTGGAAAGAGCAAACATTACACGGAGACATTAGACTGGAGACAAAGAGAACGTGTCCCATCTGAACCGCGGAGGTCACAGGTACCAGCTGGTGTTACCTCCATTTTCAGCCTCCCTAGGCCGACGGCGTGATTCAAATGCTCTCCACGCTTGGATGTGCTGTGCTGGTGGCCTCCCCACTTCCACGCCTCCAGGACCCCCAGAGTGTGGCTTTCCTTTGTACAAATTTGAAATAGGAGGATTCAAACACAGTATAACCTAGTTTCACCCAATGCAACATCTGTGAAATAGAGAGAACCTACCAGTCATGGAAAAAGACCTCTCCTACACATTGCAGTGGTGGTCCTCTGCCACGGGAACATCACTTCAGGGCGCCGTCGGATGATTGTGTGCTGACTTCCTCAGTAGGTTAGGCTTAGCTTAAAGTTCTTGGTGCAGGTGTACAAAAGTCGTGAAAATACTGTGTAAAACCTAAATTGAGTACAGTGTAATATCACAAAAACATCATGGGTTGACTTTTTATTAATGTCAATGATAATAAAATATCTTTAAAACATAGCACCCATGTAATAGATTGATTCCCTTCTGAGGCTTATGAAAATGAGTCCTTGTAAGATTATTCCTTTTAATAACATAAGACAAGTCCTGTTTCTCCTTATGGTTGTAGAATCGCTCCTAGGCTGTACATATATAGCTTACGTATCTCTGAAGTAGATTTTCTGTAAAGTGAATGATTTAAGTTGGTTTCATCTTCAGCTGTGGACTTCTTGGTAGGTTTCATTAATTTTAAAAATTCAGATCTTGAAACATGAGAAAATCACAGTGATCACGCACAGTTGACAGTAGGCTTTCTGACTTGAGCTGTTCTTGCGTTAGAAGTTGGCGGTAGTTTCCCTCACTTCGTGGCTTTGCTTCGTCCCTTATTGTTTAACTTTGCACTGAGGTCTTCCTAGTTTAATCCAGTATTTGCTATTTAACGGTAAGAAAACGTGGTTTTCGTGTAATGTATCAATGACATGTGTACCTACTAAATTTCCTGGAATATTCAAGTCTTAGGGTTTAACTGATAACAATCAGTTCATACCATACCCCACTGACTAATTTATTCGTATGGTGATACTTAAACTCTCCTTACATACATACACAGAAATTATTCAAATACAGGGAACTTTCTTAATTATTTGAATATTTTTATTCTTCATTCTTACTCTTTCATCAAGCATTTGTTTGCTTAATTGAGTCTAAAGCCTTTGTCGTCAATACCATCATCACTGCCTCTCTGTGAATTGTAATAGAATGGAGTTTCAGAAAACTTGTGTATTCTGTTTCTTGTATCGCAGAGAGCAGAGCTGAGTTAGGATTTTCAGGTAGACGTTTGTATCCATTTAATGACTGTTTGTGCCCGCCTTGCTTAAGGTGTGCCAGTCTCCATGGCTGTAAAGGTCCACAGGAGAGGCGGAATCTGCCTGTCTTGCCCTGTGGTCTCGCACAGAATACAGATAAACATGCGGCAGGCGCTGTAGAGGGAAGTCCGGGTACCATGGAGGCTTGGAAACGGGCACCTTGAGGAGCCAGGCTTGGCTTCTTGAATGGCCTTCATACCTTGGCTCAGAGGAAGATCTTTCATCCAGGAAAGCCCAGTAGAAACGTGAAGACAGAATTGGGGGCGGAGAATGGAGAGGAGGGTGTGGATAGACTGTTAGGAGTGATGGGTGCCCCCCCACCCCGTGCTGCCCCATTTTGGTGGGTACTGTTTGTTGTATGCAGGCCTGACATTTTACGTCTGCAGCAGGGGGTTTTTTAAAAAAGGAAGTGTCAAAAGTGTCCCTTGCTTCTCCTGCCTGTCAGCAGCAGGTTTACTAGCTGCTCTCCACCTCAGTCATGTTGCATTTTCTAACCCTGCGGAAGGCTCCCCGTGGAAAGGGCTTTGAACAATAGGTGGCCGCACCAGCCCGGCCGCCGGAGCTGCTGCTTTTGTCAACGTGCAGCGCGTTGAGCGGCTGCCGTGGTCCTGGCCTCCTCGCACTGGGGGGGCTGCTGCTCTCTCTCGCAGTTGTAATCAGGTATTTGTGTTGACTTAATTTATACAGATGGAGAGAGGACGCTGTAGGGTATGTTAGAAACTGAAGTGAAATCAGGGACTAGTGCAGAACAGAAAATGATTGATCTTGCTCTGTTAACAGCACGCCTTGCACATCCACGCCAGGCAGCTGAGAGCCGTGTGCAGTGTGCTGTTGACACGCGTTGCAGCTTCTGTTGGAGGGTGTCTATTTTTATCTGTGACATCATCGCTGCCGCCGAGCTCCCGTGCCCAGTGGGAGTGACTGCTCTTTCATTCCCTTCTGAAAGAAAGCTTGTATTGATGTCATAATTGGACCCATCTTTTGGTTGCACTTGGAAATTGAAAGTAATAAGGGTGTTGTGTAGCAAGTCATGCAGTATTTCAAGCAATTTATTTGTCAGAAAGATCACTGCCACTTTGTCCTGCCTCTGATGGTGAACACTGGTGGCTCTCTGTGCCTGTTCACGTTCTAAATACACTTGGCTAAAATTTAGCTTTTCGTCTCAGCAGCAGAGGTCCTTTCATCTTTAGCTGTTTCGTTTCTTATGTTTTTCTTTTTTCATTTCTTTTTTTTCTCTGTCATGAGATTTCGCAGTGCTTCGTGCTGGTTTGAGAAGTGTCTCCTCTCTTTGGGAAAATCCACTGTGATATTCAGACCTGTTTCCCAGCAGTGCTGAATTGACCTTTTTACAATTAAGTTATCAGTTCTCAGTTATCTGTTTTCACTATTTGAAATATTGGGTGACTAGAAA